ACATATTCGTTATAGAATTACCACTATACCAAGCTAATAAAAGCCTGTTAAAAATCAATGTCGATTTTTTACTAAACTATATAAGTCGTATCAAAAATAGATTTATTCTAAGCACGTTTAATCATTTTATAATAGTTTAACACCCGCCATGGTATTTTTTTCCGAAATTCATTTTTATAAATTAAACAATTAGATACTAATTTAATAACATTTTCAAATGGCGTACTGAGTTGGCACTATTTCAGACCTAATTATGTTTTTGTCTTCAACTGAAATTACACTGCATCGGACCTACTCAAGAACAAATAATAGATAATAATATTTTAAGATGGTACAAGCCTAGTTGTTAGGAAGAACATTACAATTATAAGAAGATAAGCTAAAAAAAAAAGTTGACAGTTTTAATTTCACAATAATAAAAGGAAACATAGCTGGAGCCAACTAATCCAAAGAAGAAATTATTATAACACAAACTGGAAATAGTGGCGATGTTTCGAGTTCGGCGACAAAGAACGATGTTTAGAACTTCGAAATAATGGGAGGTGTATCATTGGCATTGGTGAAGTTATAATAGGTTTCGTAATGTACAAAAGGTTCAGAAACGCCATAGAACAAACAATTAGGCTGATTATATCTAAATCGCAGGAACTTGTCTAAGGAAAAAATAGCGAAAGAAATAATTATTTTATGGAAATTGGAGTACATATAAATATCTATCTATTAAATAAAAATATATTTCTGCAGAAAGAATTGAAAAAAATGGTTTTAATTTGTAAAATTTAATAGTCTATGTAAAATGCTTTAAAAATAAAGAGTTGAATGACTTTCATAAGTTTGCCAACAGTGAAAGGGGGGGGGGGTCATACAGGTATAAACCGCATGCATAACAATATTATAAAATATTACTTTTGGTCAAGCTTAAGAAAAATTTGTCAATCGTTTTGATGGCTGTCAAAAATGCAAACATATTACTCAATCTAAACCTTTGATATTTACAACTATATGCTGCATTCGAAACAATTTTCTTGGATTTCGTGGTCCTTTAGAAATAGATTATGATGATAATAAGATTAATAAATACGTAGGATATTTTATTTAAAACACTGTAGCTAAAGAATTTATAGAAAATTCAATTTTACGCCTTAGAATACCAAAAATAGTTTTTACAGATCAGGGTACCGAATTTATGGCAAATGTATTCAATAAAACTGGTAATCTAAATTGGTCTTCACTCATTTTTTGATTTCATTCTGGAATTTGATTTTCTAAAAATTCTAATTTGTTATTTAATACTTTATTTTATTCTACTTGTCTGTTTGTCACTGTAGCCCCGTTAATGATTCTGAAATCCCCCCATTGGACTATGCTTATCATCATATTCACTGCGGTTTCCCGGTTGTAAAATAGGAAATTCAGCTTACAACTGTGTTGTAAGAGGCGAACTAAGTGACTTTACTTTGTTGCTGCCTAGTTTGAATCAAGAAAGTCATTTGTCTTTACTATAGTCTTTTCACTTTTAAAACTCTTTCTTTTCCTACTTCCTTTCTAATTTAACCTTTTCTCTTCGACTAGGTCTGTTCTCTGGATTAGTACGGATCTAGAGTCATTGCCTTTTATTTTATTTTTCAAATTCCGACGCACAATAGTCTCATAAAATTAAATGTATTTATAGCCCAAGAGCCCACTGCAAATTTTTACTGTCATCTGATAACGAAATGAAATATATACTCCAAAAGCATGTAAAAACATTACACTTTACCAAATGGCACCTGTGCCAATCCCAATCCTGAGCAAAGTGGTTAAAAAACATTTTATATTATTAAAATCAAATAAGACATGACAGCGCTAATTTTGTTTGCCCTTTAAGTTTTCCAGAAAATAACATATTTAAATATATCTTGATATATATCGTTAAAGGAAAACATTTTCTTCCTCTTAAAATCGCACAAAAACATCTATCCACAATTAGTAGGTAAAAATCATTAAAAATATGAATCAATTTTGCTGATTTAAAAATTTATTTGTACGCCTATTGTTTTGATTCATTTTTACAACTTGCTATAGAAACGACAAAAAAAACTACTATGATTATGGTTTAAAAGAATTGTCTAACAAGAGTTTATAATTATTATTAACTATCTCTGCAAGTGGTTTATACGATGCCATCCGTCTTCCTTTCACACATACACATGGTTTGAAAGGTAGGTAAAAATATTAATAATTCTGGTTTAAAAGCTAGGTTCACAATGAATTAGGATTGTAATTTTCAGGGTAAACACAATTGTCGCTGCCATGTCTTATGTGATTTTTTTGAATATAAAATATTTTTTTTAACTACTTTGCTCAGAATAGGGATTAGCACAGGTGCAATTTGTACATAGTTGTTACATGGCTTTGGAGCCTATTTCATTTCGTTATCAGATGACGGTCGAAATTTTCAGTGGGCTCTTTTACTTTTAGGTATACCCCTCCTCCTCTTCCTTTATTATTTATATATTTTTGTTTCTTGATGATAAGTATAGTCTAACCCGGTTGACACCAGAACTATTCCCGAGCGCTCCAATCTACTTGTCATTATCCTGTGTCAATCTGTTTATGTCTTATGTCTACTGTCAAATGTCATACTAGGTACGCTTATCACCTGTTGCGTCGTTAAAGACGAAGGTTTAAATTAATCGAAAATAATGTATAACATAATTATTATTGTTATACCTTTTAAAAGGTTTTACGTGGGTTGATTACTTTTACCAACCCCAATTACCATTATTATATTTGTTGTTGTAATCCACAACGTTTCATTTTTTAGACAATGACGTATTCATTCCACTTGCATCTCACAAGTAATGTGTACATCACTTCCTGTCTCCTTATTTACTTAAATGCTTAGAGAATTCAAATTTCTAAATGCAAATAATCTTAGAGTTCTTGGATACTTTTTTGGTATAATAAGCGAGTTCATTCATAAACAGGTTATACAATGTACAAAATAGTTTTCGAGAAAACATCCATTTTACCTTCTTATGTAATTAAGAAGAATGAGCTTTTGTATAATTTTGACGATTATTCGTTAGAACTAAAACAATCAGCCATTAAAAGAAATTATTGACTAGATGACAATATTGTACTGTTCTAAGTTAAAACCAATTTACAACGGTCCATATAAAATAATAAAAAATGTGGTATTTTTTAAATTAAAAGAAATGTAAATTTCAAAATTTTTATTTTATTCTTCTTTATCATGGAGGTTTATTATTTAAGTATATATTATTATTAAGTAGGTTAGGTTATATTGCTAGTTAATACGTAGATGTAGCAATAGCACCTAATTGTTTTTTCTTTCAGCAAGTTTTAGTTTATACTTATGACATCTTTGGAGTACCTATAGAAAAGTTGGACAATAAAATTATTATAACTAGATTCAACTGAAAGGTTGATTTTTATTTCCAACACGTAATATTGGACCCTCTTCCTAAATAATATTTTATGAGCATATCACAGCTGTGATTCACAAATAGTCATAAAATACAACAATATTTTTATTTTTTTTTTATTGTAAAACTGATACTCTAGATAAGTATTAGTGTATCTATTAGTAACATAATTATTATCAATGAGTAATTTATTGGATAAACGTCTATTTATTTTTAATTTATACACCTGAAAATGGGCGTCCTCTGAATGTATTAATATTTAATTTAATAAATCTCTCAAAATCAATACCATATTGTAAGTTTTATTTAAATCAGGCTGTCTTTCAGATTGTTTTCCAACCGTCTACAGGATGGATTTTGAATTTAATTATGTAAGTGGCCCTTTCAATGTTTTCTTTTTTTTTAATATTTACGTAATATGTTGTATTGTTTACCTGATGACCGCCATGATAGACCAAAACTATTGGCAACAATTTGTGTTTAATAAAATAACCGACTACATTTGAAGCGTCTAGATTTAAAACTAAACAAATCCCATTTTTAAATTTTCGCGGTTTTGATGAAGTTGCAATCGCAATAAATTTATCTACCGATTTGTATGCAAATAAAATAAAAATCAGACGTGGACAGATACAATTAAAACTCCACATTTAAATTTAACTTAAGTTTAAAAAGCGGATAAATCCCGATACCAATTCAGAAAAAAATAGGACCAGATGCAGACAAATTCTTTGATGACATGTCAATTTCATAACTCGACAAATCCGTTCAATGTTTAACATATAGCATTTCTTTTATTAAGTAGTGTTTTTTATTTAAAATTAATTTGCATTGTGTTTTACTGATTAAAATTGCAAAAATAAAATAAATAGGTAGTTTTCACTAGAAATTATTAAGAAATTCACTGGTAATACCGGACAGATTATTGTTGCTAAGTTTCAAAATTTGGGGCTATTATTCAAAATAAGGAAGGCATTTTACAAATTCATTAATATTATATTTTCCAAATCACTATTAAAAAATGAGACCTTTCCGATTTAATTTTTTTAAATAATTACAATTTTAGCGTCTTTTTCGTTTTCTTTTAGGACGATTTTCAATTTAGACGCCTGATTTCTGACAATGGACAATCTTTAATTCCAAATAAATAAAACTTGACCACCCCCCATAGCAACGAACTTGCGATCAAAGCTTTGTTGCTACGACAAAATATCCCAAAATTCCAACTACCTCTTCCACTATTAGAACGAGCACTGGTTTATTTTCGTATTAAGAAAAGTGTGGCACTGCTCGGGTTAGGTACAATCAAGATTTTCAGGAACATTATAAGCATTCATGAATAATATTATTGCTGAAATTAAAGATCGAAGTGAGCGAAATGTGGAATGCATCGTTTCATTCACACAGCGACCGAAATTTAATGTTGTGCGGGAGTAAAGTTTGAACACGCGCCGAGCCATATCTGGCAATGGACACATAATACGTTCACTGGAGTGGACAGTGTTTCGCGCACACCACACTTGGGAGAATCAAAAGCCGCAAGCCATCACAGTTCAGAGCTGTACTTACACCAAAAGACGGCGACATAGTCCTTCTCGGAGAGGATGCGTTCCAGCTGTTTGGCAGTGACCTCTTCGATGACGGGTTCTTGGGTCGGGGCTCGCTTAGCGTCAGCAGCCGTCACTAAAGTGACCACCAGCAGCAGCCACCACCACATGCTGCTCTCCACTAAGTGAGAGCATCTCCGTCGAGGCGCTCTCCCACCACTCCCGCCACCACGCGGAATTAGCGTCGGGACGGCGGTCTCAGTGGCGGAGCGAGCAAGGATTACATTTTTTAAATTCTTGTTAAATATTAGAATATGTGGAGTGTTAATACCCTTTAAATAATTTATTTTTGATCTTAATAAGATAATGGTTTAATGTTTAAAATAAAATGATTCTTCTTTGATTTTCGGGTAAACGTTTTTCCTTTTCTGTTTGCCAAGTAAATTATTTTATTTTATGAGATTAGAGAATAATAGAATTATCATAATTTTGGTAGGATAGTAATGATATTAAAATTGTTTAAATTACTGAATTACGGACCAAGGTAACAAATAGAAATGATAGAAAATAAATTCACTTAACAACTATAATGAAATAGTTACATATAGTATTTTTAATACAAATACCCATGCACGTCATAGTCGAAGAATGTAGGAAATTTTGAAATTGTAAGTTTTTTTCGGTTATGTAAAACGAAACAATTAATTTTAAGTACTATATAACTAATGGAGAATACTGAAATCCTTTATAAATAATAAATGCTGTAAATTTATTGCAAATAGTCACGAAAAAAAAAAAAAAACTGTATATAGTATATTGCAGATTAATTAAACACCGTCTTCACAAAAATTGGTCAAAAATTAGTACATGGTAGCCTATTTCTGTAATTAGTTACATACAAGGTTTTTTAAATTTTGACTTGATTATTTATAAAATGTTTTGTTAAAAAATGACTCACCATCATTCTTTTGTAGGTAGGTACTTTTAATCAAATATTTTAGAACATTGTTGTATTTGATTGCCTTACGACGTTTTTTTTCAATCGCAATAATAAAAAAATCCCATATGGATCCAACTTTATCGCACATTCTTTTAAATTGTGGCGATTGGAGACAGTTTGAAATAAGCTATGCATCGAACAGCATCATTTACTTTCATAAGGGAATAAGGGCATTTAAAAATTAACTCGATTTTTTTTCGGTTTCCAACATTTTGTCTTGTCACGACTTCAATGTCATGAATTACTACTGTAATCAGTGATAAAATCACTGTAACATAAAATATCGTCCATCCCCATTCCATGCATTGTTAGTTGCATAACTACCTGTATACTGATATATCATTTCAACTACTTGTGTTACAAAGAACGGACCTCCGTAATCGACCCCCACACATGAGAAAGGTTTAATCTTATTGATACGAGATAAGGGTAAGTTTCCGATAAAAGGCTCATAAGAGGTAGGCTTTATTTTAAAGCAACGATGACAACGCGACAAGACATGGCGTATTGACCGTTTTAGAGACAAAATCCAAAATTGTTGGGAGAGGAGAAAATGGAGATTTTGCAACCCGGGATGAAAATGTTCATTATGAAAGCATTCAATAATTAAATCTGTGAGACGATGCTTTCGAGGAAGAATGAGAGAAAACTTTTTATCGTATGATAAACCTGAAAATTTAAGACGACCCCCCACCCTAAGCAGACCATCCTTATCTAGGAAAGAATTTAATTTTCGAAATGTTTTAGAGAGGGCGTTACTATTCAATTGATCAATTTCATTAGAAAATGAGGTATACTGAATTCTTTTTATTAACACCAAAAGGTCTTCATGCAAATCAGTTGCTGAAAATGCGCCACTGCGCTTGGGCAAATGTCTTTGAGCATTATGGACAAAGCGTAAGACATAGGCAATTATTCTTTTAATTTGGTCAAAGATGAATACTTTTCTAAAAGAATATCCAAAGAGTTATTCAGAGTAATAAGAGTAGTTAATGTCAGGGACTTTTCTTCTGGGCAAGGAACCATAGAAAACAAGGGCCCAGGCCATTGCTCAGAAGAAAAAGATAACCACTTTGGTCCAACAAACCATAATGAGTAAGATAAAAATGCAGTAGGGAGAAGGCCAGGTGAGGCACAATCGGCAGGGTTATCAGAGGAACTTATATGATACCAACGTTCAGGGGGCACTCTCTCTTGGATATATGCCACTTAGATAACAAAACTGCGGCCATAAATAATTCTAATCGAGGAATTAAAAGGACCTTGAGGGGTGCTACCCTAGATTTTCCAGAAAGTAGAACAACTTTATGAGACCCATCTTGATACCTAAAACCAAGATATGTGACTGCAGCATATCCCTTTTCAAAGCTATCGCCAAATCCGTGTAGTTCGCATGAAATAACGTTTTGTGGAAAACATCTAGGAATGTTTAATGCAGAAATTGTTGGTAGTTCAGATTTATACTGACACCATTTACTAACAATATCAGAAGGAGGTTGAGAATCCCAATCTAACCGTAAAACCCACAGTTGTTGAATCAAATGATTTGCAAAAAAAGTTAAAGATGCTAGAAAACCTATAGGATCAAAGGTTCGGGCGATCTCAGGAAGAATAATCCTTTTAGAACAAGTTCTGTACATAGGTTGAACAATATATGAGAACATGTCAAGAGAGGGATTCCATGTAAGACCCAACACTTTCACAATAAAATCATGGGTGTCGAACAACAGAGGAGATTGTTGACAATCACTACGTGCTAGACTGGCTAATAACCTAGGGTCGTTACAGGCCCATTTACTTAAAGAGAAAGCACCCTTATGTAATAACAAAATAATCTCCGCTTGCAAGGATTGTGTCTTTTCCAAAGTTTCAGCACCGGTAATTACATCATCAATGTAAATTTATGAGGTTAGGGTCTTAGCCGCAATTGGAAAATTATTTTCTTCGTCAGAAATCAATTGAGAAATGGTTCAGAGGGCGAGAAAGGGGCCAGAAGAGACACCATATGTAACCGTTTTAGGCTTAAAATCTTGGACAGGATCTGTAGGAGAAAATCGCCATAAAATCCTTTGATAATCTTGATGATTATCGTGAATCAAAATTTGGCTATACATTTGTTTTATATCAGCAATAAATACAAAGGGATGAATTCGAAATCTGAGTAGCAGAGATATAATATCAGACTGAAGTTTTGGTCTCGTAAGAAGACTATCATTTAGTGAGATACCAAAAGAGGACTTACTTGAAGCGTCAAAGACAACGCGAAGTTTGGTTGTGGGGCTATTAGGATTCGTGACACAATGATGTGGAATATAATAAATATGTTCAAACGATAGAGGAGGACGGATTCCATGTGACTACTTAACAGGTAATCTTTCATAAATTCTTTATATTCTGCATAAAGTTGGGGTTCTCGTAACAAGCGACGCTCGAGAGACTAACAACGTCGTAAGGCCGATGTTGGAGTATCTTCAAAATAAGGTTGGGGATTAGAGAATGGAAGGGAAACTGCATATCTTCCAGTTTCAATTCGAGAGAGAGTAGTAGTGAAAATATATTCACACCTTTTTTCATCGAAGGACAGTAAATTAATCTGTGGAACTTCTTCCAGTTCCCAGAATTTTCCAAGAGTTGCATCAAGTGAGGAATTACATTGAGAGAAATATGCGTATAGAGCGAGTCGGTACAGCCATAGTGGTTTGTCCCATCAAAACCCAACCAAAAATAGTTTTAAGAGCTGTTGGCTGATCTGGAGTACTTACAATTTTCCCGGATGTCATGACTTCAGGGACTACATCGGCTCCCAGTAGCATATCAATTGTACCCGGAAAATTAAATTTATTATCGGCCAAATCTATACCAGAAATATGTGAGAAATTTAATACAGAAAACTTTTGTTCAGGTAAATCTGAACAAATGCGAGTAAGAGTTATGGGGTCGACCTGTAAAATAGGCGTATCCTGAGCTAAAGTTTTAATAGAGCATGATACTAAACTAGAAGAGAATGTATTTAGATTACCTATTCTAGTAACAGTCAAATTAACTTTGCTACGAGGTAAACCTAATCGATTAGCTCATTTCTCAGTGACACAGGAGGATTGGCTTCCACTTTCAAGTAGTAAGTTCTCTTATGCATTGAAAGTGTCCCCTAGAGTAAAGACCATCGATTAGAGCAGTTGATAATAAAACAGTAGAGGTAGAGGAGACTGCAGAAAGGGTTGTGAGAGTTTGAGGATAGGTGATACGGTTAGGTGATTCACCGTGAAAATAGGATGGACTGGCAATTGTTGCAACAGCTAAAATGTAGCAATGTATGATGGTTTTTGTTTTGGCATACTCTGCAAAAGCTGTTAGAGTTACAATTTTGCGCCATATGCTTGTTACCTAAACAATTAGTAGACCAGCGGGATTGTTTGCATATGTCATATCTCTCTTTTGAGGTTTTGGACAAAAAAAGAGAACATTTATAAATTACATTTATTTTCATTAATGTTTGTAACAAAGGTAGAGCTTTTTTTATGTTCAAAGCGAACCTTGGGTTTAGAGAAAGTAGAATATTTTTTAAGGGGTTGTACTAAAGCAAACAAATCATACGTCTGACATTCTTTTTCGAGAAAATTGTACAACTTATTATATTGGGGCATTCCTGATGAGGCATGCTTTTGCTCAAAACGATGTAGTGTCTCTGAGTCTAATTTTTTACCCAAAGTATGAAATACTAAAAAATTCCATTGATCTACAAGTTAATTCAAATTTTTAAGAGCTTCCACATTATCAGAAAAAATCATTAACATTTGTTTAAAATAATTAGGAGATTCAGAGTTAAGTTTGGGGAAATTATGAATTTCTTCCCAATAGAATGTTGCAAGAGCTCGTTTATTTTGAAAAGTTTTTACTAGTTTATCAAAAGAAATATCATAATTTGTTTCTGTAACCTTTATATTTTTTATTAGAGTTAAAGCCTCACCCATCAACGATGATTGTAAATATCTAAATTTTTCAAATTTAGAAATGGTGGGGTTACTATGTATCAGCGGTTTAAAAAGATCTATGAAGGTAGGTCACATTTTAAAGTCACCTGAAAATACTGGTACATTTAATTTAGGGAGTTTAATATTCGTTTGATTCTTTTGCACTGGAGGTTGAGTAGACTGAGCCGTTCTTTCGAATAAATCGTAGAAAACCTCTTTTATTGCAAAATATTTACTATCTACTTCTAAACCGATATTCCGATACCGTTAGGGTCTTCGGCATCATCGAGTGCGATTGATTGCAAAATATTGTTTTGCCAAGTATTAAAATCATAAGCCTATCATAAAAGTGACTCCATTGTGACTGAATTTCCGAACACCGAACTAAT